AAAATAAAACCTTCGTCTGTGAGAGATCAGGAAAGCCATAAGATATATGATACGACGTGCTAAAAGCATACATCCGCTGGTAAGATTATCCTTGGCTTCCTCTTTCATGAACTGCTTAGGAGCTATCTGATGGTAGATTTGACTTCCTGATTTATGCTATTTACCAATTTATCACCGAATCCAATAAAGGAATCATGGGGGAATTGGCTTTCGCATGGTCGGAATCGAACCTCTCGATATCCATCGCAAGAACAGCACTACTTTCTTCTGCTTCATACCTGCAGTGATTTTCTGTACTGTTGTAAACCTGTATGATTCCAGGGAAACAATTCGTTGTTCCTTGTGATACCACAGACTGGTGAACTGCAAATCACGGGAAATTTGGATCGTGAGCTGCAAGAACAACATGAATTGGTTGTGCAGGCGAATGATTTGGGTACACCGAAGCGACTCAGTGCAACGGTAGCTGTAACTATACGGGTTCTGGATGTGAACGATCATGAGCCAGTTTTCGAACAACCACAATATTACATCGAGGTTATGGAAAACGAGCCCGTTTTGGAGAACTCAACACTGTTGTGCACAAAAGCTACGGATCTCGATGCTCCGGAATTCTCAGTGATAAGGTTATGACGTGGTGCAGCATTGAGCAGAAATTCAAAGCAAATAAGAAATTCGTTTTGAAACTACCATTTTCTTGTTTTGAAACTAAAATCGTTTTTTTTAAGACAAAAAAAAAGAATTTAGCTTTTGAACCCCAGATGAAAAATTAGGGAAATAGCGATACACTGAGTCCGATAGAACAAAATTTCACCATTTTTGACGACTCTTTTCAACAACTAATAAATGCTAGACTAGCACATTACAGTAAGTCAGAACCGCTATAAGCCTTTTAAGTAACGTTGGAAATCATATAAAGCTTTTCTGTCTAGGGGTTGTAGTGCCATTCGAACAATGGAGCATGGGAATAATTTTTGAGCAACATTTTTTTGCACATGTGCTCCATTGATAATCTTTCATTTATTAATTGATGTCGTATCAGTCAAAATTTTTGCGAGCATAGTTTAATCATGAAATTACATACAAAATGCTTAAATATCTTATGTTTGAAAATTTGCTTTTCTATTCTGTAATTAGAATTTTTTGAAAAAAAATTCCTTGCCTCCTTCCCCACTTCCTCCCCTCGCTCTTTACGCTGCTTTTCCGTTTACTCCTGTTCTTTCAGAAAACTGAAATATCCTGAAATTTCCATTTCCTGTGTTATGTAAGTGTACTTACTCTTGTTCATGCGGTGCTAATTTCTGCTGAAAAAGTAGAAAGTAATAAAAACTGTTGTAAAAATAATTTTTTCATTATTTTTTACTGGGAGGATTTACAGGTATGAACTTACGGGAGCAGAGCTGATGCCGTTCAGTATCAATCTAATATCTGGCTGTATCCAGCGACTAGATGTGTTAGATCGTGAGTTTCGGTCCGAGTGGATACTGAATGTTACAGCGTACGATAATGGCAAGTTTGTGGAACGCTCAAGCACTGCATTAGTGTATGTACGGGTACTCGATCAAAATGACAATGCACCGATTATCTTGAATGAGCAGCTGGATATTTTTATACGAAAAGGAATCAAAAAAGGTTTTTCTAGATCTTTTCGGTCTGGAAAATAATTACACATCAAAATGCACTCATCATTTCGCTTATTACTTTGATTGTTGCAAACTTGTAGGGAATGCCAAAGCTTACTCAGAATGATTTGCCCTCGTCAACGAAGCCATTTAGTCTTAATTGACGCTAATTGGTGCCGTAAACTGCGCCGAAAAATAGAGCTTCAAAGAATACAGTGTCGGAAAAAGCGCATAGCCCCGTAGGACATACCCTAGGTAAGCCCCACTAAAAAAACCGTCGAATACTCACAGGAAACGGCTGCCCCGCTTGCCGAACCTTCATAAACATGATGAAGTCGTTGATCATCCATACTTGCCTTTGATTCTTGCCCTCTACGCTCACAAAAAAGGGTACAAGAATAAGGAAAAGCAAAAACATCAAGGAAAAACAAGAAATATCATAACTACGCGAAGTTGTCTGGAGGGGTCCCTCTTCATTAGTTATATCTGGAATATATCATGAAAACCCAGTAGCATCAGATTCCCACACCAATTGTTGAGGCGATTCTGACAGCCTGATTATTACCAGTATGATTTCTGACATAATAATTTCAGGCGAAGTGGTGTATGTTTTGAATGCATACGACCCGGATGATCATGTCCTGCATTACAGCCTCAGTGGTTCGAATGCTCTGTATTTTAACATTCTCCAAAATGGCGTAATTGTTGCAGTCCGAGAACTCGTCATGCAGGATTACTCATTAACCGCAGTGGTTGCAGACCGACGAGGCCTCAACACATCCGTTGATTTAGCATTTTACACCGCCGAAGCCACCAAATTCCCGATTTTCAAAGTAACTTTTGCAAGTTTCTTGTTTCCACTGAAAAAAGCCTATGTCTTCCTAGTACGTTTATTTTAAGTACAAAAAGAGCATTTAAAAAAATAATAAAATACAAAAAAGTACACTTTAAAGAATAAAAGTACAAAAGTGATTTAAAAAAAGTACATTTATCCATATAAACTGGTTCGATAACTTGGAAATTTAGTTTACTTGGACATACAGCGTTCACAGTGTCGCTCCCCAACTACGCAGATGACAACTTTTCCAGTTTTTTTGAACAGTGCTAAATCTCGTAGTGGTCAGCCCGCTGGCGATTCTTATCGTCCGTTGTTTTTATGCGTTTTTGCATATATGTAAATTGCAAAAACGCATATTGGGAAAAGGCTGTGTGTGTGTGTCTGTGTGTTAGCACTTTTTGTCACCCATTTTCAACTCGAGACCCAGAAAAGCCAGAAGGCTGAAACTTTGGGGATATTTGCCCATACCATGCGCGACCCTCCCTTTTTAATTTCATCCCCCTTGGAAGCCTAGGTGCCGCGTACTGAAGCCTTAAAAAATATGCAAATTTCTTGGCGCCTCGATCTCAGGAACAACATGAGCTGAGGGGATACTCCCTGTGCATGAACTAGCTAAAGATTTCAAATTCAGCCCCCAGTTATGCGTGGTACTCACGCAGGGGCGTACGGAAGTTTTAGGAGGGAAATTGCTAACTCGGGCACCAGGAAGTCCAGAAAGCTAAAATTTTGAGAAAATGTTCCCTATCCAAGTACTTCTCAAATACTTCAAATTCAGCCCCAAGCTATGCATGGTACTCATGTAAGGGCGTATAAAAGTTTTAGGGAGAATACTGCTATCTCGGGTACTAGGAAAGCTAGAAAGCTGAAATTTTGGGGAAATGCTCCCCATCCAAGTACAACTCAAACATTTCAAATTCAGCCCTAAGCTATGCATGGAACTCATGTAAAGGCGTATGAATGTTTCTGCAGGAAAATTACTAATTCGACAACCAGAAGAGCTAGAAAGCTAAAATTTTAGGCGGATGTCCACTGTCCACATGCAGGTTAAAAATTTCAAATTCAGCTTTCCAGGCACGTGGAGTACCGAAGTACGGGTGTGTGATGGTTTTAGCGGGAAAACTGCTAACTCGGTAACCAGAAAAGCTGGAAAGCTGAAATTTTGAGGGAGTGTTCTCTGTCCGAGTACAACTTAAATATTTCATATTCAGCCTTGAGGCATGCGTGGTTCTTAAGTACGAGGACTTAAATTCTTGACGAAAAAGTTCCTGACTGAACAGCTAGGTTATTTTTAAAGAACGACTATTAAATGGAAATTGTACATTTATGCTAGTGACTAATGATCGCAACAGGTAGGTGTAAAGCAACAGCAGTTCGTAAAGTTAATTACCTGAGTAATTTAAGTCCGGTGCAAAAACACATGATCGCACGGGCCCGCCCGGTGCGTTCCAGCCTGGGTTGCATTTAAAGTTATGATTGTAGGGTTTGATAAAAGCAAGCTTCAAAGGTATTTAAATACTTTATTTTTAAATTTTTAGTATTCTTAATGAAAATATAAT